TGAACTAATTGAAGTATGGCTGGTTTTCTGGTAAAAGGAAACGATAAATGAAAATTAAATATTTGCAACAAAGATCCAAACTGTACGGGACTAAGCAGTCTCTCAAGAGACTTAAAAGTCATCTCATAACTCATTATCTGTAGTTGTAACGGACCTGGGAGCAACTCACACATTGTCAACTTCAGGCCTGGAACATCTCCAAGTGAGTTTTGCTGATATACGCGCCACATTAATGACTGGGATCTTAAAATATGTTATAGCTGTTTTACATTGACAATTTATTGATCAATTAATTCATGAAGTCGCTTCATCAAGAAATTGAACAAGTGTAATGCACCAAATGAGCTGTCACATAACTTCATCAATTTATTCATCAAGTTCTTGACGAATAAAGAGCAAGTTCTAATTTTCGTCAATTTCTTCGTGAAGTTCGGAAGTACCAACCCAACAGATTTCCAGCCTCAGATCAGTAATGAGGTTATGTTATTGGAATATGTAAATAATTGTGAGGCGTGGTGCTAATTTTGCATTGTTTTTACTGATTTGTTATTTACAAAAACTAATATTTATATAATATGTATCAGAACGGTACTTCTGCGAACGACTCCACAGCACGAGGACTGACGCTCCAGCAAACGCTCGAACCCACAAGCTTAGTTTTTAATAGAAATACTTTATTTTTACCGTTGAGAGAGCGTTTTATTTTTGCTGTACAGCGAAAGCAACCCTCACTGAAGTTTGTTTTAACACTCTAAAAACCAAAGTAGAAGCCAAAAGTCGAAATCAAGAAGTGGTTTGTTGCTTTATTGGACGAAATGTCTATAAAAAAGCAAATACCTAGGTACCTATGGATTTTAAAAACTATGAGGTGGAGCCTGTCCAGGAAGCCCTGGTAATGATGGTAGTTTGTCTGAATACAGCATGGAAGCTACCAATAGGGTATTTTATTGTAAAATCCTTAAGTGGTGCAGAAAAAGCAAGTATTATAAAAGATACTTTAATTCGACTAGGTTATATTGACATAAATATAACATCAATCATGTGATGGTCCAATAGCACATTTTACTATGTTTAAGGAACTAGGATGCACTTTTCAAGACCACAAAAATATGAAAACTTATTTTCAGCACCCTTCAAAAAAAGATACAAAAGTATATTCACTTTTTGATATTCGTCTTTTGTTAAAGCTGATTAGAAATGCGTTAGCGCATCTAAAAATTTTAATCGATGCTGAAGGGAACAGAATTGAGTGGGAATTTATTACAAAATTAGACAATACACAAGACGAAGAGACGCTTTTGTTAGCTAATAAAATGTTAGCTTAGGAAAAGCCATATTGAATGGACAAAACGGAAAATGAAAGTATGTAATTTATTTTCTGTGTTCAACATTATCAGGCGTTTGCAGCTGGTTTCTATCAAATTTAAAAAAAAAACCAAACAAATAAGGATGGAAGAGATTGGAAATAAAACTGCTGCAAATTGTGGACATTGTGGACATGTTGGAGATAACAATAATGTTAATACCATAGTTCTAAATCTAAAACGTTTACCCTTCAATTTCTAATAATAATTTATTATAAAGAAAAACATGTCACAACAAACCCAATTATGAAAACTGTGGGATAAGAAGTTTAGGAAGGTACCAATATTTAAAATTTTATGATGTTGCGTTTGTTCTAGGTTAACATCGCAGCTCAAACGTTAAGCAACAGTGTTGCTGAGGCACTGTTATTCCTAAAAAATGATTTGAAACATCCTCAATTTCTGGTGTGTCAGGCCACTGTTAATTTTATGAAGAAAGTAGATACAATGTTTGATCTTATGAATTCTAGGCTTCCGTGGGTAAAGGGAAATTAAGGCCCATTAAGATGAGAAAATGAATTAGTTGAAGGCCAGTTGAGGAAACAACTGTGGAATATCTTTTTTAATCTTCTTGGATTTTCGATATCTTTGATATCTCTTATGAATATATTTGATGACTACATAAGAACCAATAAGTTAAATTATGTCCTTAGATATAAATTAAGCCAGGACGACATAGAACTATTTTTCTGTGCAATTCGGTAAGACTTTGTAACACTTCTCTTTCGTATGTATTTGTCTTGATTATAAATTCTAGAGCTTGAAATGGGTGGAATAATAATCCGCCCATACTTCAGTTCATTAGATCATACAAGAAGCTATTACTACATGCAGATATTTCTGATAGTAGTGGAAACTGTAGAGTCCCAGATACAATATCAATTATATCAATTTCTAATGATGGAGCTTCCAAGAGAGACTCCGTTCTATAACAAATTGACCTGTATGATGATAATTATGATGTTTTGTCTAAAATATATAGTCTCACTAATTACAGCGAGAATGTTGTATCATATATAGCAGGATATGTGCAGTGCAGTGTGAGGACTGTTTCAGTTTATTAATAGAAGAAAACGCCGATGACTATTACCTTATAAAAAGAAGGAACTTAGGTAATTACATTCAGGATCATTAATGTATTGTCAATGACATAATTAGTTTACATTTTTTTTATAATCTAATTTGTTTCAGGTGCCTATCTTTTTCCCTCTAATAGTTTGGTACCTACTCATCTGCTCAGAAACTGAAAAATATTTCTTTGAATTTTCCAACTAGCATCAATATACTTTATGAATTAAAAACAGATTACTTCAATGACAGAATAAATTGAAGTGTGGAAGTACTATTGATATTAAGTGTCAAAAACAAAATTTTCTACCCCCCAAAATTGTAAATCTGTAGATTATTGCAGACTGCCAAGTAAACAATATGGAAGTATGTGTGTTAAGAAGCAAATAGCTCTAACAAAAACAAGCATTGCATAGCTTAGTCGTAGTAGTATATAACAAAAACCCATTTTTGAAATGCAACCAGCAATACATTTTTATAAATTTTATTACAGTTTGTCTAAATATGATTTAATGTACAAATGACAGGCTTTTCCGCATTCTAACGGAGATCCAAAACTAATGAAGTTTGCAATGTTTCACTGCAATCAAATTTTTCGGTATTTGTGCTTTCTGAAACATGGCTTGATTCATCCATAAAAGCTTGTGAACTTAGTTCGAATTGCAATGTCTTTAGTGCGGATCGACATTTTGCAGCTACGAATATGACAAAAGTTGGAGGCGTTTCACTGGCCATAGATAAACAATTCACTTTGTTTCAGTTGAATTTAAATTCTGTAGGCCTGGATAGTGTTCCGTCAATTGACTTATATCAGTGACTATTCAAATCGTCTAACGATCAATGTAATCGTCGGATTTTAAGTGTGAACTAGTTTAACCGACATTTTCGATTTATCGCAGTATAATTTTGTTTTTAACAATCTCAGTAGACTTTTAGGTTTTGGTTTTGCGTAGTTCGGACTGTCTGGTGGTGAAATCAGACGATCCTTTTGTGGAGGAAGATGTATACCATCCAGCTTCAATCTCAATCTCAATCAGATGTTAAATGAACCGAATGACATTATTAAACGCGTTCGCTGATTATTTCTCGAGATCTTATTCACCATCGTCTTCTGACCGAGACAATAATTCAAATTGCTATTCATAGAATAGCAATTTAAATACTTTCATACATGTTCAATGACGATGATATTCGTACTGCCTTTAAAAAAATTAAATCCGTGATGACCACCGGGCACTGTCCTAGACGCACATGCGGCCTATTGAATAATAATATGCCGCCCACTCTCTCGCATAATTCTCCAACTTCCCGGTTAATCCTTGCTATTAGAATGAAGGGCAGAGATATTATTATTATTAAAAGATGATGTGCTAGTATCAAATTAAAATTTACATAGATGTAAAAGGAAAATTTAATTTCGTAAAAAAAGTCGGCCCTAATATCTCGAAATGGGTTGAATATACAGGATGTCCCACTAAGGTAAGCGAGGTACGATATTAGAGAAAGTATAGACCCTAGAGCTTCGGGAAAAAATGTTGATTAATAAATCAACCAAGAGAAATCCCTGGAAATAGTTTTCAAGTTCGTAGCTCGGCTGCTTCCTTTTAAAATCTTATAATCAATAGCCTATTATGAGTTCCGGATTGAGCGTATTAGCCTCTTTCGCGTGTAAATGTATTTCCAGATTGATATAATGCGTAAAATATCGTCCATATATCGAATTTTTAGACATTTTTTTAAGTTAATTACACACACAATTTGACATGATAGAGTATTTTGGAGTTCAGATTCATGATCAGCGACCCCAAAAACATGTAAGATCCCTACTTCCGTGTGCTGATGAATTTAAGTTTGTGGTGCTGTGTTATACAGGTTCGGAAAGTCCCCATGGTAGATCGGCCGTTCCGTGAGAGCGATAAAGTAAGTCATAGAAATCCGTGCGATAGACAAGGATGGTTACATTGACTTTTTATAATCTGAATAGTCACACAAACGAGCGGTGACTATTCAGATTATGAACCGTCTTCACTATAGCCATCCTTGCCTATCGCACGGATTTCTTTACTTTACTTTGTCGCTCTTATGTAAAAACAGATGGACCATGTGGATTTTCCAGCCCTGTATATTCAAAAATCGAGAAATAAGTCAAACTACTAAACAACATCCGATTTCTCAAAGACGAAAAATGATATCGGGATAAATACAAGTGCATTTAGAGAGTAAGTATAGTACTTTAAGACCCCACTAATGATTTTAGCAAAAAAAATTACCTACCCATGTAAAATAACCTCAAATATGTCAAAAAATCGCGATTTTGGAATATCTTGAAAACCAGAGCCAATTGAGAAATTTGTACCTCGGATAGAATTAGGGGTTAGAAGGTCGGTCAAATTTTGTCGGACTGTGTTATCTTTTGGCCAATTTGTTGTAATATGTAAAATTATACCACAAATATTGCGAATTGTGACGTGTCGTTCAGTTGTTTGGGTGAAATATTGGTAAATAATAAAAAAGCTTGTAATCTTTAGGTTTTTTATTTTACTTTGCATTTCACAACTATCTCTTAAACTTATTGCAACTACATAGTTTCTCTCTAAATAAATTTCCTTTGGCTATAATAAGAAACAGTGAGAGGGATTACACCTACAAATTCAGAATAGGATCCGTTTTCTGGAATTGGAGAAGTTTGAAAAGTAAATTATGTAGTCTCTGCTTGGGATTTTGTGGTTCCTTCGAGGGCTCCTTATATTTAACATGTAGATAAGCCTTAGACGTGGTTGTACCAAGGGCGTTAGCAATGAAACAGGCATACCATCCCTCGTCTTCTAGTGTCGCATTGAAAATTCTAAGCACTTCAGGTTCAGTATAGCTAGTATCACTTCTCTAAAGTTAAAAAATAAAAATGAAGGCAAAAGCCCTAGAGTAAGCATTAGTACCTAACATCAATCAAAGTAAATAATTAATACCTGCTCCTAAAAAGAGTAGGTTGCCTACGAACTGCCGATTCCCTTCGCACCATTTCCGCAAGTTAACTGATGTGACGTCATTGATATTATAAATCGAACGTCAATGTCAATCATTGTTATGTTTGCTAATATTTAGTAAATTTCAGTTTTGATCTGTATTTTTGAAGTTTCCCTGTGTCGTGTGTCATAGGAATTGTTGTTCTTGAGTTTTTTAACTGTCAGTATGTTCTTTAAGTGCTACTAAGCTCACAAACTTTTATCTAAAACTATGTCAGATTATAATTCTGGAGGTCCAATTTGTAGAAGTAACATAAAGTGGAAAAAAAAATTGGAGAATCCATTAGTTTTAACAGATTTTCAGAAGATCCTCAGTTAAAAAAGCGTTGATTTGATGGTGCTATCAAAAATATGTTGTTAATTTTGCTACACTTCTCAAACTTATGAAAAATCTTCAAAATATTTCTAGCAGTGGGGACTGGTTCGTCGGGGTATAAAAATATAAATCGACCAACGACTTCCGCTGCACTTTCTGTACGACAATACCATTTAATAATATTAATTTTTTGTTCGACACTGTACACCATTTTTATTTTGTAATATTCCGTCTACTTCTTACCAAAGGTTTGAGTGGAATAATAATAAAAATAAAACTACAAACAGCAAAGCGCTTTAGGTATTCGGTCGGTTCACAATAAATGCAACGGGGCACGTGCGCTCCCACACTCGATGATATATGTCGTGTCTGACGCCTTCCATCCGAAGTTGATAGGGGAAATGCATGTAATTTACTGTCTATGCGAAAGAATTACCTGGCCAGACCGGTATACTTATTAATCCAGATAAATCGTTTTAGAAATCTTTTGTCTCACTTTGAAATCGAACAACAAGCTACAGAAAAAGAATAGAAGCTAGTAGTAAGTGAACTCTTTGAGTTGAAAGCCTCAACAGCTCCAACTATCAGAAATTCCGGGACAGATACTGATAAATTCAGTTGAAGAGATTAAAAATGAACACGAAAATGTCGAATTCTGCCAAAATGAAAAACAGAACTTTGTGTTGTACTAGTTATTATATGTAATGAATAGTGTACCTCTATCCAAGTATTGTGTAATGTTGCTAAAGTAATAAATAATATTTGGACATATTAGAAAAATACTACTTGTTTTTTGTTTCGATTTGGTGTAACTACCTATCTCTTTCCGATTCAACATGAATGTGTACAAATGTGATGCATGGGCGTTGGAATGAAAATTTCTAAAACAGTGTATAATTACAATTAAGGCTCCCCAAAAATATTGGACTCTATTTCAGAGATACCCTGTATACCATATTTTAAAAGAGGAGCTTTATAGATTTAAGATTGAATTAGATAATTATAAAGTGTTGATAGTGCTTATGCATGCACTTTATGAATTTCAAATTAAATAATATGTATCAAATATGTGCTGCTCCTTGTATAGGTGATCACTTACAATTAGAACAGCTTTTTGCTCATGCTAGAACTAGGTAAATCATAAGGTTATAATTTAGTCGCATCTAAACTGAAATTATGACTCATTATTTTTAGTCCAGACGGTATCTGTTTCAAAGAGTCCATATTTGGGTGAATCGTATATCCACGGAGATTTTTGGCTTTTTGGCTTTAAAATATCACTAGAAATGAAAATTTTTCTATGCGCATAAAAAAAACGTGGGCTTAACTTTTGGCGGCACAATATGTTAAAAAAATTCGAAAAATGTCATATTTTTCTTCCTATTTAATTACGTATCTTTTCAAGAGTTGATTTTAGGCGAAAATGGAAGAGGAAAAAAATGTTTGTAATTAAATTTTACAAAATGTGACTAGTTACAAATCGAATGAATTATTGTTGTAAAAATCGAAAAAATCGTCAAAAATGGGGTTAAAAAACATTGCTTTATAGGGAATTTTTTGGGTTCTTTAAGTTGGGTAGAGGACCTTTATACTTGGCTCAAGAATAGTTCATGTTATGTTGAATCATCACACCAAATTTTATCAAAATCGGTTCTATAGATTTTGCATAATAATTTAGTAATCCAGATTTTGAAAAAAAAATTGCAAATTTTCAAAATTTTACACAGCAAAAAGCAAGGCCGTTAGATACTTGAAAATTTAATCACATATAGAAGGACTCTCAAGCTTTCAAACGCTTTTTGAAAAATTCGAATCCGTGAATTAGGAGAGCTCCGGCGTTTGTTTAAACATTGGTGGAATTATTGTACTATAATTTTGTATTTTTGTAATATAATGAGTTAATTTCTCATTTGCTTTGCTCATTTGCTCATTTTAATCACAAAAGAAATAATGATTAAATTAATTACTCATTTTCGACATATTTTGAAAACAATTATTGTTTAAACAATTTTAGAATATTTTAATAAAGTTCTTGATCTTTGATAAACAGTGTATAAATTTATGCACTTACCTTTGATACAATAAAAAAATAAAGTTGATAATTAAAGGAAGTTTAAAGATAAATATTTATCGGGCTGTTGAAAGACCAATAATTATTAACGATAGGCATTTGAAAATACGCTAATTGTTTTTTTTAAATAGCGAGACATCGATTTACAAATCATCAAAATTGAACCTCTAGAAGCTGAGATATTAAAAATGTTTAAGCGCGTCGCGGTTTTGAACTCGCCGATTCAATTTCGAGCAGGCTGAAGTTACCGCGCTCTCTGCTTCCCCAGCACCACCACCCGTACGATTTTCTTGAATTTCTCGCTTACATAAATAACTTTAAACACGTTTTAAATTAGGTTGCCAATGAAGAAAAGTATTGCAAACTTATAGACCTGGTAAGTAGCTACTCGGAACACCAAAGGTACTTTTCGAAAAATTTGCCTGGATATCCCAGTACATAGTGTATTTGACGGTTAAAGTTGATCCGCTACGTAACTAATTGACCAATCGATCTGTTTTTTTTTTAAAGAAGCGTCTTTCCAATAACGTTTAAACCTGCTTTAAAAAATTTGATTTGAATACAAAAATTCGACCAATGTTTAAACAAGAGCCAGAGCTCTCCTAATTGACGGATTTGAATTTTTCAAAAAGCGTTTGAAAGCGTGAGAGCCCTTCTATATGTGATTAAATTTTCAGGTATCTAAGGGCCTTGGTCTATCTAACCGATTTTGATGAAATTTAATGTGATGATTCTACATAACATGAACTTTTCTTGAGCCAAATATGAAAGTCCTATACCCAACTTAAAGACCCCAAAAAAAACCCTAAAAAGTAATGTTTTTTAACCCCATTTTTCATTCGATTTGTAACTAGTCACATTTTGTAAAATTTAATTACAAACATTTTTTCCTCTTCCATTTTCGCCTAAAATCGACTCTTGAAAAGATACATAATTAAATAGGAAGAAAAATACGCCATTTTTCGAATTTTTTTAACATATTTTGCCGCGAAAAGTTAAGCTCATGTTTATTTTTATGCGCATAGAACAATTTTCATTTCTAGTAATATTTAAAGCCAAAAAGCCAAAAATATCCGTGGATATACGATTCACCCTAACCAAAGCAGATACCGCCTATACTCGACGGCCAAAATTATAGATAGTGATTCATCGCTAGCTCTTGGACTAGTAAGGGGGATGAAGCGTACCGGGAACGAAAATCCATTGGCGTGTCTGCGTAAAAGGCAACAAGATATAGAAAATATTGAAAAAACATAATAAAACATAACATCTAATATTTTTTACGGTTTGCTATAACCGGCACTTTGATCAATTTTAATTATTACAGCATTTTAAAACGTCCCAGTTGTGTTTTTTTAATTTATAAATTTATTATAGCCATGGAATTAGACCCCTCGTCTACGC